GTTTATACTCATTCAGTTAACCAATACGCACTGAGAAACTATCATATGCCAGGCACTTTTCTAGGTGCTTGGGATACATCACAACAATGATCCCCACTTTGCGGGACTCAGCTTTTGGTCTCTGCATTTAAAGACTTTCCTCAAATGTTGGTACATCTTGATTTGTGTATTTATCATTTTTTAAGATACATTTAGATAAGATGCATAAATAAGTGTATAGCTAAATAGTTTCACATATGTATACAGCCATGTGAGCAACACTCAGATTAAGATCTTGAACATTTCCTTCACCCAAAAGCGTTCCTGGTGGTTATTCCCAATTAATATCTTCCCTCTCCCCATGGATAAACCATAGATTAGTTTTGTCTATTCTGATTTCATACACAGTATGCACTCTTCTGTGCCTTCTTTTATTCAACATAATATCTTTGAGATTCATCCATGTTGTGTGTATATCAGTAATTCATTAAAAAAATTCTTGTGTTAGGTTTCAATATATGTATATGCTAGAATTCATTTTTTTCATTTTACTACTGATGGATATTTAGGTTGCCTACAGTTTTTATTAAGTCCACTTAATTTTGAGAGTGAAATACAAAAATGTTTCCTGAAGTCTAGGTAAGTGGGACTTTGACACTAAACAGCTCTACGGTAAGAGAGAGCAGAGTGATCAGTTGAACATATGGTTTGGGATCTCCAAATATCACTATCTGTAGTTGTTCAATTTTTTTAAAGGAAAGTCCAAGATATGTGAGCCAAAGTGCTAGTATTCTGGAACTTCAGGTCTTACCATTCCAATGGAACATTTTTTTCTGATCATTTTTTTGTTCTGTTCTGAGTTTCACCCTTACTCTCCAGGGACTCTTTATTTTCATTTTCTCCAGAAAAAAATAAGCTCCTTTGGCAGAGGCAATTACTGACAGTGAGTGGAGGGAGGTACGTAATCTAATTTTTAGGCTCCTCTGTCTCAGCTCAGCCTTTTGCAGGGTTCTCCATTCTTCAGTGTTCTGTAGATTCTGAGGGCAAATTGGCAAATTTCTCTTACCAATGTCTCTCTCTGCAGACACTTGATCTTCCTCTGATCTGCTAATTCATTAGTCTTTCCTCCATACACATTCCTTCTTCATATGCTCTGGTCTGGGCAACATACCTCTTGGTTTCATCAGAAGATGAATGCATATTTCTCTCTTGCTCTTGCTATTTTGGGGTAAATGATACACAAGGAGAAAAATGGATTCAATAGATTTCCATTTCCTTTTCTCTCCTTTGTCAAAATTAATGGCTTCTCATCACCAATTCTAAAATGCACAAAGTTCTTGGGGTGCCTAGCTGGCTCAGTCGGTTAAGCATCTGACTTTGGCTCATGTCATGATCTCATGGTTCTTGAGTTCGAGCCCCGCATTGGGCTCTGTGCTGACAGCTCAGAGCCTGGAGCCTGCTTCAGATTCTGTGTCTCCCTCTCTCTCTCTCTCTGCCCCTCCCCCACTCACACTCTGTTTCTCTGTCTCAAAAATAAACAAAACATAAAAAAAATTAAAATGCACAAAGTTCTTAAGAGCTGACCCTGCCTTTGCTCAAGTTTACCTATAACAAGTTTTTTCTTTTTTAAAAATGTTCTTTATAATAAATCGTTTTAGACAAGATCTATGTATGTAGCCTTACCTGCTGGTCCTCAGTCCACCATGCATGTGGTCTGACAACCACCAGCCTTGGGATATTCTCTTCACATTGCCAGGAATCCTCCTCTCTGATTATATGCCGAAAATATCCAAAACTGCAGAAATGTCACCTTCTCCACAAAGACTTCCATGACTTCTCATAGTTTGCCAAATACACATCTATATAGCATTTGGTGCTTTGCATGATCATTGTTCCCATGGTCATTCTCTTCACTAGAATATAAGCTTCTTGAAGACAACAGTTACCTTATGAATGTTTTCATTTCCTTCATCAAACCAAGTATTCTTACAAAATGCTCACTATGTAAATTATATGTCAACTAGTAATCTAAGGACTTTATATTATGAACACACTTCACATAATATTAAAAAAAATTTTTTTAACGTTTTATTTATTTCTAAGAGAGAGAGAGAGACAGCGTGAGCAGGGGAGGGTCAGAGATAGAGGGAGATACAGAATCTGAAACAGGCTCCAGGCTCTGAGCTGGCAGCATAGAGCCCGATGCGGGGCTCGAACCCACGAGCCGTGAGATCATGACCTGAGCCAAAGTCGGACGCTCAACCAACTGAGCCAACCAGGCACCCCCTTCACATGCTTTAACATCGTCCCCGTGTTACATTAGAGAAGACAGCAACACAGGTTAAGTAACTTGCCAATGCTATTTAACTATTAATAATAACCAATAGATGATCTGGCTCTGAGACTATGCTTTGAAACTGACTTTTGAATTGAGTAGGTGCCTAACATGTATTTGTTGAATGGATGAATAAATGTGAAGGTAGAGAAGGAAAAGCCATAGACTTCAATAGAAGTCGGACAAATTTGTTCTTAGAGATAGCCATATTTTGAAGCCAACAAAAAGTTTGATTTTATTGACTTTGTTCTCCATTGCAGCCCAAGCCATAAAGACCCAGAAAAAGATCTAGGGTAAAATTTCTGTTGCCTGCTGTTGTAGACTGAATGTTTGAATCTCCTCAAAATCCCTAGTTGAAGCCCTTACCCCCACTGTGGCTCTATTTGGAGATGGGGCTTCTAAGGGAATAATTAAGGTTAAATGAGGTTATATGGGTGGGGCCCTGATCCAAAAGGATCAATGTCCTTGTAAAAAGAGATACCAGCATTCCCCCCACCCCTATATATACACGAAGGAAGAGAGACCTCACTGGATACCGAATTTGCCAGCGTCTTGATCATGAATTTCAAGCCTCCAGAAATGTGAGAAATGAAATATCTGTTGTTGAAGCCATCCAGTCTGATACTTTGTTATAGCAACTCAAGTACACTAATGTAGTTTGTAATGGGTGAAGTTTGGAAAACATTTTCCTTCACTTCTTTCAGAAACCAGCTGCTTTAATGTGTTCGCTCTCCTTTGGAACTGGATTTGACCTTCTTGTGTTGTACTTGTGTTTTTGTTTTTTGTTGAAAGGAAATTTTAAGACTCCATCTAATCCAGCCTTTTTACCACAAGGAGGCTGACATTTGGTTTTGTTTTCCTTCAATACTGCATACAACTATATACTTTACTTTTCATCATCTTAGTTAACTAATTCATGGCTTATGCAGGAATTCAATCTCTCTTCTTAGAAATGTATACTTAGCCAATACTTTTACTTGTATCAGCCATATTTATCCTAGTTAAAAATGGGAATATACTGTCTTGCCAGTCGTATTTATTTGGAACTCTCCTACAACTGTGGAGTGGAACTCTGGGCTCTCTGAGGGATTTCAAGTTTCAACTGTCTGGGAACTTTGTGCTGACATATTTCTGAGCAAATTCAAGACACGAAGCCATTAAATTCTATGTATCTCAAAATGTATGTCTTAAAAAAGGAAGACATTTTCTTAGGGGAACCTGGCTGAATAACTTGGTTAAGCGTCCAACTTTGGCTCAGGTCATGATTTTACAGTCTGTGAGTTCAAGCACCATGTCGGCCTTTGCGCTAACAGCTCAGAGCCTGAAGCCTGCTTCGGATTCTCTGCCTCCCTCTCTCTCTGCCCCTCCTCCCCACTCACATACTATCTGTCTCTCCTTCAAAAATAAATAAACATCTAAAAAAAAAGACAGTTTCTTACATAATCACAAATGTAATTATCTAGGAAAATTAACAATTGTTTTGTTTATACGTTATTGAAGTGAAATACTTTATACAGAATTTTATGCCATAAAATACTTAGCACTATATTAGAAGAGCAATATTCTGCCTCACAATTTTATTTTTTATTTTTTTTAATATTTATTTTTGAGAGAGAAACAGAGACAGAGCCAGCAGGGGAGGGGTAGAGAGAGAGGGAGACACAAAATCTGAAGCCGGCTCCAGGCTCTGAGCTGTCAGTACAGAGCCCAGCACAAGGCTAGAACTCACAAACCACAAGATCATGACCTGAGCTGAAGTTGGATACTTGACTGATTGAGCCACCAGACACCCCTGTACCTCACAATTTTAAAGTGAAATTTAATATGCTGAGAAATGCAGGATGCTTATTTACCATTCAACTAAAGCTGAGCTCAAGATGCCCGACACAACTAAAAAGTACACAGTATCAAGATTTCAGGTCTTTGTACATTATTTTAATAAAAACACACTGCAATTACAAATATACAGATATGAAATCGTAACATTAAAAATACAGAGATAAAGTGGCTTTATAAATTATCTTCACTGAGACAGATTTTCTGTCACATTTAGACATATATGATTAAGACATAATAAACAAGGGAAGTACAGTTTTCCAACCTCATGATTAGTAAATTCCTTTGCAAGTGAATGAAATCATATAGTCACCAAAAGGAGAAAAGCAGCCCTGCCTACGCTGTATTACTGTGAGGAAGAGGCACGGTAAGAGCTATAAGAAACTGTAGTGAAATGTTAGAAGTATAGGTAATACAGCTTTCTCAGACTTCTACCAATGACTGTATCCTTGATAAATAAACATTCTTAAATGTAAAAGGGTTCAGTATGACTGCTTCGGTATTTGTTCCACAATGACAATTTGTTAATGTGTTAATGCAATATATATTTTTGAACTGCAATCATGTACAAATAATGAAAAATCTTAAAAAGAAATATTAGTCCTAAGTCATATAATGTTTAAAAGTTGAAAGGCCTGTGGAAAACAAAAGTGTGGACAATAACTATTGGCTACATGCCAATTTTTATTTCTAAGAGAAAGTCTTATGTAAATAAGTCATCTTTGTCTTACAAAACAAAAACAAAAACAAAAATCCTAAAAATAACACCACAAACCCAAATTGGCTGAACTCGGAGTAATTAAAGCCAGTCTTCTCATCTGCATATCAATGTGATAAATCAAAACTGCACTGAAAAAAAAAAAAGAAAACAAAACAAAAAAACCTACTGCATCTGCTCCTGGCTCCTAAAGGGAACAGAGGATTACTTTTAGCACTTAAATAAAGACAACTGTTACACTGCTCTTTTTAAAAGAAAGATGTATATCAGAAACTCAACAGAATGTGTTACTCGTGATCATCCACAGAAGCTGTAAGGCAGCCAAGAGCTGATGACATTTAAGAGCAGTCAGTAAAAGTTTGCACTCTTCATACCCCCTGATCTCTCTGTGCCAATATGCAAAAAATATGCTTTTCATCACTAAAGACAAAATGATAAGGAAACACAATGATTGCATTATATCTCAGCATAGAGCTACTGTATTTGTATAAAGGAATCACTAGTTAAAGAGTTATCTGTCTTTTTTTTTTTTTTTTGAGTTATCTGTCTTTTTAAATGAAGTCCTGTCCAGGTATTAGGCTGTAATCTAAATGTTGATAGTGCTGAATTTCAACTCCCAAGATAAACAGAAAGAGCTGTCAAGAGGTGTCAAGATTAATTCGCTTTGGCCGCAATGGATACCATTTTCTCTGGGGACAGTCTTTAGTTTGTCTTCTTTTCAGTACAAGGTCCGTGGCTTTCCGAGTAGAAGTCTCTGTTGGTGTGGTTTCTATTTGTGTAATAAAGCTCTCAGGTTTAACATCTGGTTGTCTGTAACAACTGGAAAAGACTTCTTGGTGGACTCTCTGGAGCTGGATAATAGGCTGCATCTTTAAAACTTGGGAAAATCCATCTCCTTGTTCAATTAATGCAGGCAAGGACTTAAACAAAAAACAGGAATACTCAATATTAATCTCAGTTTGAAACACAACCACACAGATAAGACAGATTCTAATTCAAGGCTTTTCTAAGACCTACTTATTTGGGTCACGGATACCTGCTTTTACCTTAAAATATCAATTTTAAATGCTGAGAAATTTTAACCAAAAACTGAACTAAAAAGTTATGTTTTATTCCTACAATGCCTGGTAGTAAAATAAAAACTTTAGCAGCAGTAAGTTAACAGAATTTCAGAGCCAAGGCTTTAATGTCTGAAATTCTGTATTTCAGGGGAGTAAGTGTTTTAAAAATCCCAACCATTGCAAGCAGGCAGGGATCAGTATGTTTTCCTTGTAAAGGGCCTCACATCCCTGTCACAGCTACTCAACTCTGCCACTGTAATGTGAAGAAGCCACAGACAAGAAGTAAATGGATGGACATAGCTGTGACATGGGGTTTTAGGAATGGACATGAAGTTTTATTTACAAAAACAAGTGCAGGCTGGGTTCTTGCCTGGCTTACCAGTTTGTTAACATCTGATAAAGAACATGCTATGGGAGAAGCATGAGTACCATAAGATCATAGAATCCATATAAACCACAAAAGAATGTTACAGGAAATTATCAGAACAATGAAGATTCAGGAGTTTTTAAAAATAATTTTCATATACCAGAAATCAAATGTTTTCCTGTTTGCATAAAATTGCAAAGCATATTGTTGTTGTCAAGAATATAAATAATTTTATTATAATAATACTAAGACTCCAAATTGGATATGCAGCATACATAATACAGTGGTTAGGAGTATATTGGGACATCTGGGTAGCTCAGCTGGTTAAGTGTCTGACTCTTGATTTCAGCTCAGGTCATGATCTCCCAGTTCGTGGGACTGAGCCCCACATGGGGCTCTTGACTGACAGTGAGGAGCCTTCTTGGGATTTTCTCTCTTCCTCTCTCTCCACCCCTCCCCAATGTGCATGCACATGATCTAACTAAATAAAACTTAAAAAAAAAAAAATGAGTAAAGTTTCGGGAGCCAAATATCCAGGTTTAAGTTCTCACTCATTTATTTGGGGAATCTAGAGCCTCTCTGAGTCTCAGTTTCTCAACTATAAAACATGGAAATTAGCAGTACCTATCTCATAGTGTTACTGTAAGGATTAAATAAGGTAATATATGTAAAGCAGTTAGATGGTGTCTGACCCATAAATGCTCACTAAATGTTAGGTGGTATTATTATCCAAAACTGTCTGATAGACTGCTAACTCTCAGAATTAAAAAAAAAAAAAAACAATCTTCAAAGAAGTCAGATATACTGGCACATACTTCTATTAAATGGTAGGAGTTATTCTGAATGTTATTGTCATCTCATAAATTCACTAAAGATCTACTTAAAAGACTACTGAGAATTCCTATTACAATCAACTAAAATACATATAGATGTTGAAAGCAAATACCTAGCTATACATTTCATTCATTTTGTAACTATTTAGCAGGTAGCTTTTACCTTCATGGCTTCACTGATTTCTTTAGCTATTGTTTCTCCTCTGCATTTCAAATTTTCCACACGAGAGGCTGTAAAGAAACCACCAAACAGTATTTTAGGTTCTTTATCTAACACCAAGTCATAAAAGATACGCAGAAGCACTGTGGACAAACACCCGTTAAAGGCTACCCACCTTAGCTCAATCTTAGTATACTTTGTAATCTATAAAAACAAGTGTCCCATTACATTTATCCAGATAAATAAAAAGACTATGGAAATGTTAGAACAGTAGAGTAAAACAAATAGGTATGATAGGCAACAAGACTTCTATTAGGAGTAGTCCTAACACTATGTGCTCCGATAGCCTAATGTTTGTTCTACACGTGATCTGCCACTATATTTAACATCTTCAAGCACTATCATCCCATTTTAAAGTAAATATAGGCTAATATTTGATATTTGTATTACTCTGAGTTTTATACATATACAACACATTTGAATTTGGAATAAACAATCACATTGCATTGAGGATATCCACATGGAATTTCTGGGAATAAAAATCTGGAAGAGATTGTCAATAATATTAATTTTTTAAAATTTTAATGTTTATTTTTTCTTCTAAAAAATTTATTTATTTATTTATTTTTAAAAATGTTTTATTTATTTCTAGGACAGAGAGAGAGACCCAGCGTGAGCAGGGGAGGGTCAGAGAGAGAGGGAGTCACAGACTGAAACAGGCTCCAGGCTCCGAGCTGGCAGTCAGCACAGAGCCCGACGCGGGGCTCGAACCCACGAACTGCCAGATCGTGACCTAAGCGAAAGTCGGACGCTCAACCGACTAAGCCACCCAGGCGCCCCTATTTATTTATTTTTAAATATACATCCAAGTTAGCACATAGTACAATAAAGATTTCAGGAGCAGATTCCAGTGATTCATCTCCTATGTATAACAGCCAGTGCTCATCTCAACAAGTGTCCTCCTTAATTAATGCCCCTTACCCGTTTAGCCCATCCCCCCATCCACAACCCCTCCAGCAACCCTCAGTTTGTTCTCTGTATTTAAGAGTCTCTTATGTTTGGTCCCTCTCCTTATTTTTATATTATTTTTGCTTCTCTTCCCTTATATTCATTGCTCTTTCCTACTTCCTTCGTGTTTTGCTGATTCCTAATACATTTTATTTTCTTCCGATCTTTGTTATAAATGTTCATGGCTATTTCATAACAGAACTGCGTATGCAATGATATAAAGGGACAAAAATCCTACTAAACTCCAAGAAAAACCGGATAAGAAAAATCCTTCCATTTTGAAATCATCTACAAATTAGTTTTTAGAAGACTAGTTCTCACTGGAAATTACTCAGATCTAAGCAAATACATAACCATGTTAGGAGTGCTACAACATTATTGGCTTCAAGAAAGTGGCAAATAAGCCAAGCAAAAAGAAAAAAATTTCTTTCATAACTGCTATTTTCTTTTCCAACTTTCCTTAGGTCAAAGAAGTAGGACACATTTAGGATAAAAAAAAAAAAAAAAGGAAATGAATAGCAAAAGCACCTGAAAGAGGGTATTCAAAGAAAGGGAAAGGCAACAGGATGGCCTCAGAAAAAGGGTTCTTAACCAGTTTTGCTACCAGAGATTTCTTTGGCGTTTTGGTGAAGCCTAGAGACCCTTTCTAAGAACAGTCCTAAACGTGTTAGTTTTTTAAGTGAGGTACAATTTACATATAGCAAAATGTAGATCTCAAGTTTAACAGTCAGTCACTTTTACATATGTAAACCATGCATGAGACACTTCCATCACCCTACAAAGGTCCCTTGTGCCCCTTTCCCAATCTACCTTCTCTACAAGAAGCAAACACTCATCTGACTTCTATCATTATTCACTGCTTTTGCTTACTCTAGAATTTTACCCAGCACTGAGTCCTCAGAGTAAGGAAAAACAGTCTCTGCCCCTCAAGTAACTTTCAGGTTAGAAGAGAAAGACACATAGAAATATACAGAAACAAGCCCATACTTGTGAAAATAAGTTTAAACTTTTCCTGCATAGCCTCACGTTTCCATGATCCCTGCATCAAATTCCACCCTCCGCCTGAACTGAGCACTCCCCTGCTCCCAACTCCCTCTGTGCCCTGACCGGTTCTAGTAGAGTAACTGGAAGACTTCACTGCACTGATTTGTTTAGAATAGTTTCTCAACTCTATCACACCCAACTTCCCCCTTTAGAACATATTTCGTAAAGACACTATTTCTGTACATATAAATAAAATTACAAAGGAAAAATAGAAGATATAATGAAGTACTCAAATAATTGTACCCATTATCCTGAGTAAGTTTGTATTTAAGAAAATTTATATTAGAAATCATCCTACATAGAAACAAAAGATCATGTAAGCAGAAATAGAAAAATTACTGTTTTATAAGAAATAACAGTCTATATTATTTGAATATGATTTAAAAAAAGGAATAATGGAGTATGGATAACCTACCAAGACAAAGTATAGGTTGTTGAAATGATAAAAATTAGGAAGAGTAATATTTCTACAAATGAGATGGCCTTATTAAAAGTGTCAGGTCAAAATAATTCTTTATAACATGGGAAGGTGTAAGATTAAATCCTACTTAGAAATTCCACCATAATTCAGACTACATTCACTATATATATTTACTTAAAAAGACTTCAGTGATCATACTGTCAAAAGGCGATGAGGAACACAGAATAGACTGGGCCAAAACAAGAATATGAGAAACCATAGAGCAGAAACGTAGTTGACCTCTATGGATAGATTCTGAGTAAGAATAAACAGAAGCAATCCAAAAATATAATCAGAATTTTAAATAGATTTTTAATATTAAAGTTTTAATATTCACATAATTTATCATTATACAAAAGTATGGTTTTTAATATTTAGTGTGGCAAAATGGCAAGTATTTAAGATACAATTTTTAATGTTTATTCAATTTTGAGAGAGAGAGAGTGTGTGAGGGGGAGAGGGGCAGAGAAAAAGGGAGACACAGAATCCAAAGCAGCCTCCAGGCTCTGAGCTATCAACAAAAAGCCCAATGCGGGGTTCGAACCCACGAACCATCAGATCATGACCAGAGCTGAAGTTAGACGCTTAACCAACTCAGCCACCCAGGTGCACCTATAATAACGAGTATTTTAAAATCATTTCTATTAAAAAAATGAGGGGCGCCTGGGTGACTCAGTCAAACTTCCGACTTCAGCTCAGGTCATAGTCTCTGGTTCCTAGGTTTGGGCTCTGCATCGGGTTCTGTGCTGACACCTCACAGTCTGGTGCCTGCTTCAGATTCTGTGTCTCCCTTTCTCTGCCCCTTCCCCATTTGTGCTCACTCTCTCTCTCAAAATAAACAAACATTTAAAAAAACGAGATTCCTACTTTTGTATGTTTCCATTAACGTAGTAACATTCGGTTCTAGTCCTATTTAAAACACTCTCAAGTCTTCTATTACATATTTCCCATCGGTTTTGTTGCTTTTGTAATAGCTACATACTGTACCAAAACCCTTTTCAATTAAAAATTGTGGAAATGCTAAGTGATTCATTGTCTTTGAAAAAAGGGAGTATGAAAGATCTAACTGAACCTAACGCACTTCCATAGACTGATAAAATATGGCTTTGGCTGCAAAGATTTATTTGTTTCTTTTTAGCTCTATTTACCTTTCCTGCACATGTTAACAGAGAAAGAATATCTGAAGAAATATGATTATGTAATGACATAAGTCAGAATAGTGGTTACCTCTTATGGCCAGGGAATACTGACCAGAACGGAAGATAAGAAAACTTTTTTGGGTTCTAGAAATGCTATATAGTACAGACTGTCCATAAAGTCAGGAAGCAGGAAAAATATGTGTTACTTTCAGACAATATACTCAGTATCTTTTTCTTTAAACTCAAATTACCTTTTCAGGTAAAATACTTCTAAATTTAAAGCAATGGGTCCAATTGTTAATACATGAAAAATACAATACATAGACTATTTTCTTTGGTTTTAGACTTTTTGGACACTTTCAATTGTACTTATATACATGAAAACATATGGGTACCTTATTTGAAAATATAAGTAACATACTGTTTAAAAATAAGTTTGTCCTGGGGCACCTGGATGTCTCAGATGGTTGAACGTCCCACTCTTGATTTCAGCTCAGGTCATGATCCCAGGGTCATGGGATTGAGCCCCATGTTGGGCTCTGTGCTGAGCGTGGAGCCTGCTTAAGATTCTTTCTCTCTCTCTCTCTCTCTCTCTCACACCCCTTCTCTCTCTCTCTAAAAAAAAAGTTTGTCCCATGTTTTCCAACTATGCAGACACTCAGTATATCTAAATTGAAGTGGCAGTTACATGTGTTTATGTGTGAATATAAATTCATCAAGCTATGCACTGTGTTATACTTCAACACATACACACAATAATGAACAGAGTATTTTTTAACATTTACACTTGAAACTCATCTTACTCGTATTTATAGGCTACAGCAATTAATATTCATTGTTACTGCATGATTTACAAAATAATCTATCATCCAGGAGATTCTCAATTTTTGTATAAACACGTGCCACTTTGAAAAAAATTGTCTATAAACCCATACTGATGGACACAATAGCTGTTCTTTTGCACAAGCAATGACAATGTAAAAAGCACCTAGAGTAGTTTTAAGCATAAAATGGAGTTAGGTCCCAGGCTTGGATAATCATAAACAGATTTTCACACATGCATTTCCGGTGGAATAATCTAAGTTGACACATAAGTCATTTAGTATTCCTGGCTCCTAACTACAAAATGCCAGCTGTACCTTCCCTTTACTGTGGTAACCAAAAAGTTTTTCAAAAGGGCCGCTAGGGGGCAATACTGCCACCAGTGAGAACCATGGTATTCTAACTTCATTTTTAGAACTTCCTTGGGAGTTCTCTTAACCTTGGACTCTTTAAGTGTTGAACACAATGCCTAACATGTAGAGCAGGTGCTCAATTCGTATGATGGAATAAGACCAAGATAAGAGTGCACTATGGAGGCAAAAGAGAGGTGAAGTCAATCTAACAGTGAAATTGAAGGAAGAGTAGCGTTTCATAGGTG